GGCTACACAATAGGAAAGCCTCTCTGGTTAGCACAGTATTTGGCCAAACAGGAAACAAAAAGAAATAAAGCCCCTTAAAGTTTGCCAAGGTATTGTTAGTAAGTGATTGGAGGTACTATAATCAAAGATTGCAACAAATAAGAAAAAACTGTCCGGAATAAGGTTTATGGATTAAAACCTATGTTACTCTGATTCAGGTGAAAGTGTCATATAGTATGTGTCTGACACAGATATTTTTAGTTTTTTTTCTAAATTTTTACATATATATATATATAGATGGTCCCTGAAGGGTCATGTCTCCATAACCATATCCGCATGTGTCACACACATTCATGTTGGACATGGAAACTTGAAGAAAAATGAAAAATTGGAGCAACAAAACAAAGATTAAAACCATTGAACTGAACACTGCAAATTTTTTTTTCGAGTGAGGGTAGAAATTGAAGAAGCTATTAGACTGAGGGAAAAAATCACTTACTTCCCTTGAAGACCCAGTGATAATCCAGCAAGAACAACGTAGGTACCAAATGCCATAAATGGGATGTATAAATCTGGTGCATTTATGTCAAAAATCGGGGGTTTGTAGGAAAGTCTGCCGCCTACTGGCTCAGTTATTCTTGTCCAATGGCCCTGATGGAAAAGTGACAGTCTGAGGTGAATTGAATAAAGAAAAAGGAAAATATCACAAATGGAAGCATATGCTTACCCTGTGCAGGAATGGCAGTAAAACAACCTTCAATTTGTTTCTCACATACTGGTCATTCACTTGAAAGTAGTATTGAGGATCAGAAAAGTATTTACTTATCTGCTCATTTCAAGATGTAAATAGTGAAAAATCACAAGGCCCAAACAAAATTCAAAATTTCAGAGAAAATTTAAGATATGCATAATGCATCCCTTCCTAATCTTACTAACATTTTAAACTGAAGGACCTTAATCACTTTTATCGTAATAGGATATATTTCAACTTTCTCTGCCATTTAAGAAAACATTTTTAAGTCTTTATTACTTAGTTAACCAATGCTTATTAAAAGCATTAACATGGCATGTACAATTGTTTCCACATAATTCGTCATAAGTAATAACTTCTGAGGGTTATTCCTCGGATGGATCAATGCTCCATAGTTAGGATTTGGGATTGTGCCAAAAAATGAACAGAGTAAAAAGAACTGAAGAAATTTAACTGAGACATAATGTTAGTTTGCTTCAATCTTTGACAGTACTTAGATCAATTTCAGCTCGGGTAATAGTAAGAAACATTTGGTATGATTGGTGTTTAGTGTTTACTGAAAATCCTAAATAACTAATCCTCAAACCAAATTGAATTTGGTTTTGATTACTTCAATACTTGCATAATATTCTCCCTTGAATTCAAGTAGATTAAAAAAAACAAAAAATTGAAAATCCTTTTAAATATAAAAACAAGGTAATTCAATTGAACCATGAAACTTAGAAGTTCAAGAAATTTTCTTTGGTTTCAATTTTCCATTTAAAAAGCAGATATCTTCTTTTGTTTTTTTAAAGTTCATTGAAAACTTAACAGAGACAAATCAAGGGCACCCATAAAAGTAATCACAGCCTCACAACAGACAGATATGTTATTCATGGTCAGTGTGAGACAGATACCAATATGTTCAATTCTTTTCAAGGTTTCAACATATTTAGAGGGTCCTTGTAGGATGAACATATCCCCCCAAAAAAAAAAAAAAAAAAGAGGAAAAACCATGTCTAGATATGTGTATGGGAACTTCAAAAAAACACTACTATGTCTATGATGCAGTAAGTAAAAGTAAAACATTATTTAAGCAAATGTAATGACAACTGCACCAGTATGCCACTTACGTTGCTTTGCACGTACTCGGAACTTGATCCCAAAATTTTCTCTCCATATGCACCTAGACCACCTCGGATAAGACCAGAACCAGCACCATAAAATGGATTACCAAAAGGAGTTGGTTGAGGATTTGTAGGCTGCATTGGCACCCCAGGCTGGGCTCCCATGTTATTATACATTTCTAAGATCAAACAAAAGGTGACAAAATAAAGTGAGGAACTTTATTTAACAACCATATCTCATCATGATGCGAGAATAGAAAGTCATGAACTTCAAAAATTAAAAGTGACATTATATCCCACAGGTATAAACAGAAGCCAAAGTTGATACTTCTGTTTAACAATATGACATTATTATCATAATGACTATACATACATAGATGCACTCACACATAGATGTGTACTTGCATGTAAAGCATAATCTGTTCAGAAAATTAGCAATGCTCATTGAACACTGCTATTATTATATGCCAAAACGCTCTTGGGAAAATGGTAAAAGCTACAGAGACTGACATTAAATGAAATGCAGAAAATGATGAATACATCAATGGGATCTCTATTTAAAACCCAACAAGGTGGTTATTTAGCTCAAGTTCCCCCATTCTTGCAAATTTAAACCTTTCACAACATAAATCATTTATTCCATAACATTATTAATTGTTTACGAGTATAATTAAAACCTTTTAGACTATTTAACATATGAAATCTGAAGTTTCGTTATCTTGTTTTACTGTTTATGTCTATTAATCATTCTAAAAAGTGCCCAACCGCGGTAACTGCTTTCAATTGCAAATACCCTTTCTTTGCAACCTGATAATTTTACAAAGTCGAAAGATTCTCCAGACTGAAATGGAATTCCAACTTCTCTTCATGCCACATAGCCTAATCATCTCAATTACTTAAAACCCCTTTTCTTTCTTTGAAATTGGTTCAAATTAGACCTAATCCCTTAAGTAACAGCAGCAAAGAAGAGCAACACAACCAACATTTCATATCATAATATCTAATCTTTACATCCAGATTGAACAAAAGCAAACAAAAATTCCACTGATTTATAAATTTTTAACTTAGTTACCCACTTTCCGAAATGCAAAACTATCGAGAGTTATCAGATCAAGGCAAAATGCATATCTACATAAAATTATACATTTGAATCGGAAAAGAAAAGAACCTTTCGGCTAAAGATAGAGCTTTTGGTCCGATGAAGATCCCGATGATATAGATCGGAGATCCGACTAGAATCTGGTGAGGGTTCCCACGTTGAACTGCGGGCGTCAGCAGAAAACTCAGAGAAGAAGGGACGGTGAAAGACCTAGAGAAATGAATAAATGAATGAATGAGTATAAGCGAAAAATATGGGAAATCTTGTGATGCACGTGTCATCCACCTGGTACGCTTTGAGTCATGGACCAATCAAAGTCACAGTCAAGATTTCCTCAATTGCATTTTAATCTTTGTAATTTGTTAATATATAAAAAATACTTAAATTAAATTATATATTTTTATTGGGTGTCTAAATTTTTCAATTACTTCAGATGTTTAAAGTTATGGGTATTATTATTTAGATGTTTCGATCGTTACAGTGGTTAAAAATATATTATAAGTATAGTATTTATAAAATTCGACATAATGTTAAAAATAACTCCCCAATGACTTCTATTCTTCTTTTGGAGCATTTTGAGTTCACTTTTACTCATTAGGTTATCGTATATTGTTTACCGTTATATTTTATTTATAAATGTTTAAAATATATTTTGAATGTTATTCTAAATGATGTTTTTCTATAACTAATAGCTAATGTTGTCTAACTTCTTTTCACCATATCGGATATTTACTAGAGGAACAGAAATATTCTGCCCCTTTCTATGCCCCTCTTTGTGTCCCACCAGTCATATTTTTACATGTGTATTTATGCTTCTTCTTCTTCCCTAATCCACACATTGAATATAGCATAAAATGAAAGTGACAATGAAATCATCATAATCAAATGCTTGGAAATGTGTCTGGAAAGAAATTACAGGTTCTAGTCCACAAACTGAAGCTGGTGAGCACCAAAAGCCTTGATAGGAATGAAGACATGTTCCACTGATCCAACCTTCCCCTTTAGGGATGGTTAGTTCCACTTCTCGAAGTTCTTCATCCCATGATAAGCCAAATTTAGCCTTGCTTATTTCTGTTGCATCCCATGATAAAGACAATGCTTAGGAGTTTTTGGAAGAACATTCCTTGTGCAATTGCCATTGGCCCGTTCCCTTGTGTGTGTGTAGATGAGAAGGTTATTGATTTCTTGTGGACGCAGATACAAAATATGCATTCTCCCACTTTTGAATCTTGATAATTGACAGCAACAGAGATAACATGTCTATTGCTTTGTTTCAAAAACAACAGTAGAATAGATCGTTGAAGAAAGTTTTTTTCTTTTTAGAAGAAATAAACGTGTAAAAATATGATTGGTGGGACACAAAGAGGGGCATAGAAAGGGGCAGAAGATTTCTGTGTATTTTCCCGGAACTTTAAGAAGCTTCGGACTTTATAGGTCGGTTTGAAGAAACGGCTTCTTTTTCCTCTAATTAAGTCTTTGAAACTTCATTTTTAGTTCATTTAGTTTAACTTGAATTTCACTTGAATATAACACAAGGAAAATAGTTTACTAATTCCAGCAATTTCTTATCTTGCTTCGTTACATGGTATTTTTAGTAAGGCAGCTTAAATTTTTGACTGAGATTTCACTTGGTTTTGAATTTGATATCCGATTCATTTCACCTAAATTTCCATTTCATCTCCTTGATATTTGTACATCTTTTATGGGTTTTTATTTATAAATGTTGATATATTTTTCTATAAATGGATGAATCTGAGGTGGGTTTTGTGAGTAATGTTGACCGGAATATATGGATTTTTCTTGTAGTGATTTACGGCGGCTTTGGAGACTGAAATTTAGGTTGTCATCATCATTTTTTTATTCATCTGAGGTCAGGGATTTGTTCTTCTTGAGCTTTCTATTACTAATTTTAGGAACTATAATTGCTGAATCAACTTGGGATGTGAGTTATATTTGCAGTCATTTAAGTTGGATGAAAACGGGTGTTCCTTTGGTAGACACAGAGGAGAGGGAGAGGCTGCTAGGAGTTAGCTCATTCCAAGTATCTGTCAATAAGTAAAGAAAACAGTAACCCTTCAGTTGATTATAGTGAGGAATCTAGGTCGGTAGCTCTAGATGCAGGATCATTTCCGGCATCTACCGTCGGCATTGTATCTTGGACTTGTCCTGAAAATGCAACTATGGGTTTGTTTTTCCTTCAAGGAGACAAGAAGGGGAATCAGAAAGTAGAGATTCCTGACTGCCACATCATGTCTTCGAGCTCGAACTCCTCGTCTGGTCCTGACGAGATGGATAGCCAAAAGCAAGGTGATGATGAGATTGTCGAACATAACGATCAACCTGCTTCTTCAAACATGACATACTCTTTGACTGGATTTGGTTCGATGTTACATGGAAGTTCACCAGGCTCTATAAAATCTATGGAGGCAAAGAATTCTGAATTGAAGACAATTTGTGTTGATAGCAGCTCGAAAATTACCGTAAAAGCTACTTACAAAGAGGATACTGTTCAATTTAAGTTCGAGCCGTCTGTAGGGTGCTTCCAACTATGTGAACAAGTTGCACAAAGGTTCAAAATTCAAAATGGGTCGTTCCGGCTCAACTATTTGGATGATGAAGAGGAATGGGTAATGCTGGTTAGTGACTCGGATTTATACGAGTGCCTGGAAATGTTAGTATGCCGGATCACAAAGAGTCAAGTTTCAACTTCAAGATGTACTTTGTGCTATGGGCAGTTCTATCAGTAGCAACTGTTTTTTTTTTTTGTCTTGAGACTTGTAACAGATATGCCAATGCTCATCAGCAATTAACCATCGGCCTTTGTAGTAATTTCTCGAATTCGATTCAGGTTCTATAGAGTAAAAAATGCAAATGAAGCCTATCTAGTTAATGCCTGCTCAGGTCGAAGCTTCTGTTTTTCGATCTTACACCATTGTTACAGCTTCAGTTCAAGGAAGAAGGGTGAAGAAGACATGAGCATAGATTATAGTTAGTAGTATAGGACTGCATATGTTAGGAGGGAGCAATAGAAATAGGATCCTAGTCATAGTCAATGTTAACAGAGTTTTTACATTTCATGAAGTATCCGTATCGGATATTGTATCCGATATCTGTGTCTAATACATAAATACAAAGTATGATTATCCTAATGTATAAAATTGTTTATGCATTCAACATCTATCGATCAGTGTCCCTAAATCCATATAACACTTACTATTAGCATCTCGTGATTTATAAATATATAATGCCTTAAATATGACTATAATACAAGAAAATAATATAAACATAACATGTATATAGTACCTGGCAACAGAACTTTGAGGGTAACCAACTGTTGCGTCAAGCTGTAGAAACAAATCAAATGAATTGCAATGCTACACTACCTCAATTCTTTCCTTTAGTAACTCACAACTGGTACATGTGGGGAAAAATCAAATGTTTCCGAATTCTGAATGAATGTGAGGTAATATATAGCTCTCAAGTTTACAAAATTCAGATAAGATATGGCACATCGCTCAGATGGTAACCAGATCGGCAAGCAAAGATGATTGAACTTTACCACTTACAAGCAGTTACTTTTCTGCACAATGAATCGGTGAAGCCAGGCCAAAACTCTAATAATTGAAGGTTGAAGTGGGAATTTGAATAGGTCGAGTTTAATAAATAAAAACTGATGCAGTACAAAATCGGTGGCAAATGCCGATATAATCTTTCCGGCAAATAAAAGGGTGATAAAAATGTGCCCCCATCAACAATCTAATTTTGATGTCACTGCGGTCTGCAGCAAATAAATGACAGTTTACATCTCAAGAACAAAGGTTTAGTTGATAAAATTGAAAAGTCAAAACATCAAAGTCATATACCAGAATAAGCATGAATAAGAAATATACCTCTTTGGAACATAAAGCATAAGCTCCTTGAGCGTTTCGATAAGATGATCTCCGACATCTTCCTTGGATAATTTCTGCTTCTTTTCTGTGCAAATAGTGGAAACAAAAGAAAATTTAATTCATTATCACATAGGCAGAGCAATTAAGCAAATCCATTTGCTTTAATGTTCATTATCCACTCATCACCAGATAATCTAACACATCGGAACTACATTTTGCACTAAATGCATCCTACATTAGTCTCAAAGTTATTCATATCACAATCCTTCATCAGTACTGTAAATTTTAACATAGCATTTGATGTCAATGCAGCTACAAGAGCTGCTCGTTAGCCTTTTATGCTTGTGTCAGCAACAGTTTTCGGAAAAAATTGGCTATAATATACATGGTTTATAAAGCTTGACAGAGGGGAAAGAGAAGAAGTTTGATACCTTGTGTATGTTGTTGAGGTGAAGAGTCACCTCCGAGATATAAGTTATCACTCCAATCTAAATCCATGTCCTGCTCCTTAGCAAACTTTTCCAGTAACCGACCAATTAGATTGTGGGCAACCAAACTTGCTTCATCACATGCTTCTTGGATTGCAAGATATCGATTTCTACGAGTGTTTGTTTTGTTTTCAGCAAATGTTTCATTCCTCGATTGAAAGTTAGATGAAATGGTCGATGTGTTTTCTGGATCCACTTCAATGTTCTGTTCAACCTCATCTCTCTCAACTGAACGACAATTTCTGTTATTTGATGCAAGCGGTTTGAAAACGTTCTTTAGTTGGTTTATATCTTCACTACTTTTTTCATGACCTGAGGCAATTTCCTGCTCCATTTTCACATCCTGTATAACCTCATCTCTGTCAATTGGAGGGACAGAATAGGACATGCAACTCTCCAAGTCCCCATTCGCCATTTGCCCATCATTGCCATAATTGTCAGTATCCTCAATGCAACTATCATCGTCACTTTCTTCTAATTCTTCTCCATATGCATCGGCAAATTCCTCATCTAACTCATGATCAGGAAGCAAGTCCCAAAAAACTTGTTTCATCTCAGCACTCACAGTGAGTATACATTCAGCCTCTTCTTCGATATCATCTTTTACTAAGCGTCCTTGTGGTGAAGATCGGGAATCCTTGTTAATAACAGAAAGAGCTTCTGTTAAAGACTTGGGAATCGTATCCATATCACTGCATTCAAAGAGGAATTCTGTTAACATATTTGTAATTGCTCCTCTTAAAGAACGAGTTGCTATTTCAACATTTGGATCCAACAAAAGCTTTAAGGCTTTCAGCTCAGGGAATCTAGCCTTCGTTTTAAGAGTCCAAATAGCCCTCACAATATCATTCTGCAAGCTTACTATTTCTGGCGTGAATTGGTGAAAGCCTGTTGTGGAGGTATTTTGACAACCCGTAGTTAGCTTTAGTGACAAGTCTGCTACCACCAATGCTTTAGCTAAGGGCTCTTGTAGTTTCCCCACTTCATCAAGATCCATAAGCATCTTTCTAGCTGTTTTATTCACTTTTTGAACTAGACGTTTACGTTTCTGACCGCGTTCACTAGTCTTTAACTCGGGCATTGATTTGACACATCGAAGCTTCTTGTCCATTGCAACCAAGGTCTGCAAAGGTAAATCCTCTAGCCCATCCAACACATGGATTGCAGCAGCATGAAGAAACTTAGATGTTAGAGTCATTGATTTCATAGTACTGCTCCGAAAATATCGAGGGTCATTAAGAATTTTATAGAATTGCATAATATCGGTCTTCTTCTTGTGATCATGATCTTCACTGCTCGAAAACCTTGGCAAACATTCTCTAATAACTTTTCTCATTTTGCACCGAGTTTTCTCAAACTTCCCTGAGCCACCTGAAAGTATCATAACAATTTGTTGAAGCCCATCATTAGTCAAAGCATCGAGACATGAGAAAAGGATTTCATTTATCTTTGATGCATCAAATGATTCGGCGCTCTCTTCAATTACATGATTTCCTATTTTGAAATTGCTTACTCCTAAGGCTTTTTCAACATGAGCTTTAATAGTCTCATAGAACATCTGCCAAAATACATAATAACAACATTTGTTAACCGAAGAACACATATTTAAGGTAGCAAATTATAGAAAGTAAACAAGCGACATCCACCGTTATTAGGGGTGGCAATCGGGTGGGGAAAAACCGAAAACCGTGGGGATCCGAACTGACGGGATGGGTAATAACCGAAATCTTCACCCACAGGGATGGGGATCCGAACCGCCCCGTTGCCACCCCTAACCATGATCATACAATGTTGCATTAACTCACATCATCCTCCCTCAGAAAAGATTCAGGCAAAGTCCTGCAAGACGGAAACAAATACAAACGAATTAAAAATTAACCATTACAGCAAAGAAAAACAATAACAATACAACAAGTAAAGCTCCCCACGTACTTGAACTTAAAAAATTTGGGTTCCTTGAAATGCTTCTTTTTCGACTTGGAAGTCGAAAGTCCCATCAACCACCTGCAAAAAAAAAAAAAAAAACTCAATAAGCAACCCTTTTCCGAGTTCCGATACAAACATAAACCACCATAATGCACCAAAAGCTTTGTTTCCATAACAAATACTAACTGCATTCCAAGACCATCACTGCAAAACAAGCACCCGATTGACACAAATTTGCTTTCCTAATGAACAAGAAACAACACAATTCCCTTTCTCACACACATATAAAAGAATGCAATGAGAAAAAAAAAACGATCTCTCACTGGATTCAAACAAAATAAATAAATAAAAAGACCATCAGTACAATTCATATACAAATCACTAACTATTTTTCTTAATTTCGAATAATTATACAAAAAAGTATATTTTTTTAGAAGAAATCGAAGAGTAAGGGGCGTGCAAATTTTAAGAAAATAGAAAAGGGGGAAGAACCTTCTTTTGAGATTAAGCAGCTTCTCTTGATGCTTGATTTGCGATAAGAGCTCGATGCAATCTGTTCGATGAAACCTTTCCATTCTTACTGTAATTGTGAAGAAGAAGGCGAGGAGTAAATGGAGATGGAATTAGGGTTTAGTTGAATGGGGGAGGGGTTAAGTTAGGGGATGAAACTGAGTCATCGACTCTTATTAGCTTTGACTTGATTAAAGCCTGAAGTGGGTAGGCATTAGGGATGACAATGGGAGGGTTTTTTTTATTTATTAATTCAACCCGATCCGAAAATATGTATTCTTTATTTGAATCTAATAAAAAAATTTATAATCTTCATCCGACCTAAAAAAATATATTCACCATCATTCTATTTAAATCTTTAAAGTATAAATATAACTTCATCCGATAAAAAATAAGGATTTAATTAAATAAATAATGATTTTTTAAAGGAAATTACACTATTATATTTGGGTCGGGTCGAAATTTTTTCACTTTTTTTCCTATATGACCTCACCCTTTAAAAAATTCAATTCGACCTGAACTGAATCTAAATTTTTTATATATATAAAAAAGAAAATCCGACCCTATCAGATCAGGTTGGATCGAAACTCGTTGGATACAAATTAAATTGCCAGCTCTAGGTGGATCTCGTTTGGCGGGTAAATTGTATTAAATACCACTAAATTTTAGGTTTATACTACTCCACTTTCAATAGCTTTTTTTATAGCACTAACTTTTGGTTTCAACTTTAATTATAGGGTAAATTACATATTTAGTACTTAAACTATTAGTTTTGATCTATTTTAGTATCTAAATTTTCAAAAAAAATAAAATCATATCTAAAGTTTAGTTTTTGTTTCATTTTAATACCCTTATTCAAAAATTAACATTAAATTTTTAAAAAATTGAAAATTTATGTACTAAAACGGACAAAAACTGATAGTTTATGTACTAAACACATTAATTTTTAACGCCCAGGTACTAAAATGAAATAAAAAAACTAAATGTTAGGTATGATTTTAAAAAATTAAAAGTTTAAGTACTAAGATTGACTAAAATTAATAGTTTATGTATTAAATGTGTACTTTAGCCTTAATTATATCATTGGGTCGTTAAAATTCAAACGATGTGATGACATGGACAAAACGATATCGTTTTGGTGTGGTTATCAATGCTTAAAACGACAACATTTTTGTAACATCCTAATCAAATTCGACTCGAAGGTCATCAAATTTCGATGTTACAAGGAACCACGTGAGTGACTAACCTTTTTTTATTACAAGAAACGTTTCATGAAGGTGTCATCCATAAAATTTAATTACCTGACAAATACGAAATAAAAGTGTTTAATACGGGGGAGCTCCCGACATATGTCTCCAAAATATATCATTAATTTAAAATACATAGTTTACGACTCAAGATACAAATAAGGGTCTATGACATTGCATGCCCTCTAAAACTCTCGAAAAGTACTTTGAAGAAGTCGAGTCTGGCGAAGAGCTCCTCGGTTGGCACCTACTGACCTACACACGGAAACACCTACTGACACGACATCCAACTAGCATTTTAAGTGCCCAAGCATTATATTGGATATATATGGATATTTTACACACGTAACGCTCATGTTGTTAAGTGACTCAAGTGTCATCGTCGTTTTCTCGAGTATCAAACATTGCTAGTTTTATATCACTTTATTTCGTAGCACTATTAGTCGAGCTTGATAATTATCATTAGTTTTTGGATTTAGGGTTTAAGTAATTGGATAAATCAATCAACGAACCAATCTGAACTTATTTAACATACTGAGGCCAAGACAACATTTCATAACACTTTAGACATCTATTGAATGAAATTATACCCCTTTCCATCGACAAAACAACGAAGGGATCAATACTTTTCCCTGAGGGATCGATTTTTTTTCCCTGAGGGATCAATCATTTTGAAAAGGGATCGATCCTAGGCACAACAGAAAGTTTGGGATCGATCCTTTTGGTCGAAGGATCGATTCTTTTTCATGAGGGATCAATCCTTTTTCTAGGAATGACTTACTTAAGCTCAGAAAACACCCAAAAATCAACCCAACAATTTCTCCTAAGGCTAGAAAACATGCTTAACGTCTTATTTAGTGTCTTAGAGGTCAAAAGGTACTAACTTTCATGCTTGCAACACACTAATACGAATATTGCCATGGAAATTACTATAGCATGCTTCTTGAACTAAATAATACCATATATGCACATTTAATGGACTCCATGTTGTATAGACAAGTTAGAATCGTGTTACCGTGAAGCTAAGTGACTGAAAAACGTCCTCAAATCACTCAAGGACTGGCTTTTCCTTGCCTCTAGCTTTTGAGCTCCCCCTTTGCTCTTGCACTAATCAAATCAAGCATAATGAGTTGTTAACTCATTTTGAACCTTAGGAAGAAACTAGAAACGTTTTTTTATAACTTAACACTCATAAAACGAACCAAAACTTAGGATTCAGTAAACCACCACTAAAATTCGTGTTTGGTTAACTTACCCAAACCTTGCGAAAGAGAGCTTAATTTGAAGTTTAAGAGTTGTAGTTCATGATTCTTACCTTAGAATTCATAGGGGATGCTTGGTTTTATTAAAGGTTCAACCTTTCTTGATTTATTGAAGGATAACAAGGTTGTAAGGAAGAGGGGAAGAATACAAGAAAATGTGAGGAAAAAGAAAAGGGCTAACAGACATGATATCATCCCAACTAAATGAGATTCAACATTTGTTTGAAAATTTGGAATAATTGCTCACCTAGTCCTTCCTCCCTTGGTCCATGATTAAAAGCATCCCCTTTAATAGTTAGTTGGGCTCATCCCAAGCCCAAATCAAATCCACTTGTGTCCAAAGGTTCATATACTAAGGTAAAATCATTCATAATCACAAACGAATAAACCCGAAACTCCTAACCCGTATTTTAGGGTGTTACAACTTTCTCATCCTAAGAAAAAAATTGGTAACTCAAACATGGCAAATGGACTGTCATATCAGTACCGTAGATTGTCACGTCAACACCATTACGATCATATGACGAAAAACGTTGATCAAAGGCCACATCAACACCATAAAGATCAAATGACAAAAAACGTTGATAAAAGGGCCAACTTTTAATTCCATGATGGTTGTCCTTATTTTGAATATTATGAATCTTGTAAAATTCAAGAGTTCTGCCCTATTTCCTGTTGTTCAGTGGTGTATAGGTCGATTATGAGGATTTGGGAAGATATACTCGATGTTTTATTTTCAGATATGATTGCTTCTAGTCAGTTAACCTTTGTTAAAGGAAGAAACGTTGTTGGTAACACATTGCTTGTGCAAGAGTTGGTGGCAGGTTACTCGAGGAAGACTCTCTCTCCGAGATGTGCTTTAAAAGTTGATTTGTAGAAGACGTTTGATAGTTTTAACTAGAAATTCATTATGTGTGTGCTGGAGGAGATGTGGTTATCGAAGAGATTTCGTGATTGGATTGGTGGTTGCTTGATGTCACACCGCATCCACTTGCCTTACATCCGTCCGCCCACTAATTACCCACCATATAAAATTTGGACCATTATGAAGTTAGGTATAATTTCATAAACAGTTCTATAAATCTTAAAATTTTATAGGACATGACTTGTAATTTAATGAAATATTAGGGTATAAACATATTTAGAATTAAAGACATTTGTTTCTCCTATCTGAAATTCTCAATTTTTAAAATTGAGGTTATTGTTAGGCGGGGATAGATGGGTAGAGATAGGTAGGGGATGGGTGGTGGTGGGTATTTAGTTGGGTGGTAAGTGTGGGGATGGCTTTGAGAATGTATCCGCGTGGACGGATGTTGATTTAAAAATTTTACTCGTAGGTGGTGGATACAAAAATATGAGATGGGTATGAGGATGGAGAAGAGGTATTTACGCCTGCCCCATTCGTTTGCGATCCCTACTACCATGAGACTTATCCAATTTAATTTAGGGTAAAATAAATGTTTAGTATCTAAACTATCAGTTTTTGTTTGTTTTAATACATAAACTTTTAATTTTTCAAAACCATACCTAAAATTTAGTTTTTGTTTTATTTTAGTACAACTATTCAAAATTTAATGTTAAATTTTGATTATTTTTTTTGAAAATTTAGGTACTAAAACGGACTAAAACCAATAGTATAGGTACTACGGTACGCGTTAAGTTTTTAACGGTGGAGTACTAAATTGAAACAAAAAATGAAAGTTGGGTATAATTTTGAAATTAAAAGTTTAGATACTAAAACGGATCAAAACTGATAATTTAGGTATTAAATGGGTAGGTTACTCTTTAATTTAAAGGTAAACTACATAAATGATAACTCATATTTGTAAGTTTCTCTTTTCTCATTGATATTTCAAAATTGACGATTTGATCACTAATGTTATCGATTTATAATAAATCGGTCGAATGTGTTTGTCACACGAGATGATCGGTTTCATCTCTCCTCCACAGTGCCATCTCTAAATCTACAGTCGAAGTCATCGTTGATCTCGTGACGTTGTCGGATACGACTCAGTGCTCATTCGCATCGGTGGTGGAGTATGAACTCGTTTCCATAACAGCTGACAATTAACTCGAACGTTAACTCAAAAACTCAGATCGTTATACCGATATTCTAAGGAATTCGAATCTTGTTTCTTGAGCTCGGTGTTTATGGTTTGCTGAATTCTCTTATGAGAGAAATGGTGTGTCACTGAGGAATCAAATTAAGATTCGAATAAAAAATCTTATAAAAAACATTCAAAACACTGTTTTCCTCAAGTTTCTGTTTTTATTTTACATCAGAAATTGTGTATCACATCACCATTCACTCAATTAAAAAACGACAACATTCGAAGAAATAATGAAAAGGTTCAATGAATCACACAAATCTATTAAACGGCTTTCTTCCAACAGTAGCAGGCATTGAAACAGTTGAATCCACGCTCAAATTGCCCAACGATTGAAGTGATTGACGCTTGTCTAAGCCCGTTTGCGACCTCGAATCCTTTCCTGAAAACAATGACCCTTTGCCCCATTTGAATGATCCGATCCCTTGTGTTAACGGGAACGAAAGCCTCCTGTTCGACTCACTCCCCGGTGTCGCCATAAACCTCTCTTTCGAATTACTATTGGCTCTCACCTTGGCTTTCGCCGATACCGTCGGAGCCATGTAGCTTGGAACTGAAAATGGTGGGCAGCTTGTAAGGCTGTTGTCGTCTTTGGCTGGGAAGTTCATTGGCGAATCCACCCCGATACTACCTCTCGACCTTGAACGTTTTGAGTTCGACAACCCCGAGCTGGTGGCTTGTGGGGTGAGTGGGAGTCTACTTGGAGGTGGTGGAGTTTGCATAGGCCTTGTTGCTGGGAGAATGGTGGACCTTGTGGATTTCGGTGTAGGGATGTCTATGATATTGTCAAATGTGAACTGTTGTACCTGTTGCTTGCTGCTAGAATGGAGCCTTGGACTAGGCTTCAATTCGGAGTTTGGCCTTGATGGTGTAAGTTGGAAGGTCTTCATGGCTTGGTTTTCGGGTCCATAGGCAGGTGATACTTGACGTTCTAACCAGTTCCACCACCATGGCCGAATGTCCGATAAACCTGTGTACGGTGATTTCGTTGTATCTTTCCATAGCTGCAATGCAGAGGTGGTCTTAAAATCGGAAGCAAGACAGAAAAATGCATAATATGATCAATGTTGAAGCCAGGTCTCACTTAAAATGATCCCACAAAGATCAGTACTTCGTCGGTTCGATTTCTATCGGATATGAAATTATGCAACACAATACAGTAGAAACCGGACCGAAGTGGCAAAAATAAAGAGTACCTGATGGGAATATGCATAGGCCATGGCCCTTTCTCTCTTGATTACTGCCTCCACCCTTCTCTGCATTCTTTCCTCTATTTCTTCCTTTGATAGCACGCTATCATCCCAATTCTCGTTACCTGCCTCAGACTGATCCAACATTCAACTTAACTTACTCATTTTAATAGCAATATATCAAGCAAATATATACGAAACAAACCGAATACACTATCGAAAAGTTTCACCAGGCTCCCTAAGGCCTTATGATCCAGAGTTTTCATTGGCAGATGCATCTCTAGGCTTGACAAGCATTAGCTACTTTTCGAATGAAAACTTACTGCCTGGTTGAAGGTCCATTTGCCATAGGCGCTCTCTGTTTCATTGTCGTTCTTAAACAGAGTTTGTCGTCGTGCTTGGTTTTCTAACATCTGGATCCGGCGTGACTGAATCTGAGACTGAACTCGAACCAAAAGCTGCATATACTTCATGGCAGTTATAGTTTGACGTTTCACATTGTGGCCTCTCACAACTCCTTGAAGCCTCACTAGGCCTTTCAAAGCTCTAAAATTTCTCCTTGCCTGCGTAACAAGTTTCAATATACCCAAGTTCAGATATTGATTATCGGTCCGAAACATATCGATGCAAAGGCGGAAAAGTGGAGGAGAAAGTGACAACATATGCACCGATATACTGTTATTCTGTACAAAGGCCGAAATTCGCATTGTTTGTAATGTCGAACCAGTTGCCTATGCAAGTTCCTACTCGGAATCGAGTAAAGGACCTTACCAAGTAACCTCTAAAGGCTGCTTGAATCTTTGTAGCTGAAGCGTGATGGCTCCTTAAAGTTGGTTCCTGTTGTGGGCGAACAATCCTCGGAGAAGCAGCTCTCGGAGAGGCAGCTCGCCCAGGCGGAAGCGGAAGTGGAGAAGCCGCCCTATGAGAAAAGGCTCGAGGAGGGGAAGCAATCCTCTGAGAAACAGCCCTCGGGGATGCAATCCTCTGAGAACGAAACCGAGGAGAAGCAACTCTAGGAAGCACAAAAGGCGGCGTTCTCTGCTGGTCCGGAGGCGTCGGAGGCCGGAAGATTATTTTATGATCTCTTTCAGCCTCCCCAAGAATTTTCTCGATACTGCTCGGCTCTCTGAAGAGTGGAATGAAGGAATTGGTCTCTCCATGCTGGTACTTCCCATGAATTTTCTTCTTCTTTCCTTTACCATCTTTTTTATCCGATTCCTGAAACGACTGTAATCCGAAATATCAGTCTCGAACCCGATAAATCTATAGCCGAAAACTTCGACGGAAGTAGTAAACACCAACTTACATTATTTAGTTTCTCCTTGGAATGTGATACAAAAACTCTTTTAATTGCAGAAAACCATCCTCCTTTCTTTCCCATTCTGCCAACAATACTATGTATGCCTAAACATATGGGAAGAAACAGAGTAAACGAAAATCCGCAGGCCTAATAGTGTACGTCGTCGGAGATACCGATCCGTCAGATCTGTGTACACATGACACAAGATTTAAAACAAATACGGTATAGTACTTGTCATATATATAACATTTTAAGGCAAAGAAATTTTTCCTGCAGACATAGGATTCACTTCCTCAACCATGAAAGCTGATGAAACTCAAACTAAGTACACACACACACACACATATAATAAGAAAAGATCAAAACATGAAAGTATCTTAAAAGGGAGAGCTTCCAAATTCTGCAGCTGAGTAATAAAAAGGGTAGGAGAGAAAAGAAGACTGCCTCTTCTTTTCTAGCCTCCTCCTCCTCCTTCCCTACACAAGATGGTTGATGTTTTTAATTACACAACATGTAAGGAACACATTATGTTTTGTTTTCAACATAAAAATCTTCTCTTTTCTTTTTTGTAGAATTGAAATGATACTACTTTTTTTTTTCTTTTGTCAACTTCAGCTTTTGATATGGATTTAAAAATTATAGTTCTTGAAATTGAAAAAAGAAGAAGAAATGAAATGATGAAAGGGATGGAGTTGGTGTTGATGGAATGATGATTATGTTAAGAATAATTAAGGAGGAGGATGGCCACTTTCTCACTCAATGTGCCAACTTCTTCAACTACTTTTTAAGGCTTTGCTTCATTTGGAAGACTACAGGGAGGGGACAGCAACCATAACTGTTAAGTTTGGTACTCTCCCCCTCCTTTATTATTATCATTATTAGATTTTATCACACCTATGATTAGGTATGACAATTTAACCTGCATTCGATGAGTTCTAATCCGATAGGATCGGATTCTTTAAAAGAAAATCGAGTTTAGATCGGGTCGGATCAGATTTATACTCTAAAAATTCGGGTCGGGTCATAGTCGGTTGAGGATATATATTTTTTGAGTCGGATTGAGTCAGATAGAGAATATATAATTTTCGAGTCGAGTAGGGATCGATTAAAGGATACATAATTTCGAATTGAGTTGGATTGATAAAAAACCTCAACCTTAATCCGACCTATTGTCATCCCTATCTATTATACGAGTTAGTAAAATATCTTATATAATAATATATTTTTTAAAAAAATATTCAATAAATCATTATAGGTGGAATAGTAAAGAATTTATAGGTCAAGTTCATGACTAAAATGTTGCAACCAACTAAATGAGTGCTTTTAAATATAGTTAGACATAGACGTAGGCACTATTTTGCTCTTCTTTACCATATTTTCATTTACTTTTCCTCTTTTTATCATATTTTATTTTACTTTTTTTTATGAAATTATATATTTTACAAATTTAATTATTAACGATGAGTAAGCATAATTGGTTGGTTGATTAAGTTACTCATTTTATTCCCTCGTATTCCTTTATGTTACTTCTTTTTCTTTTTCTAGAATCTCATCTTCTCCTCCTCTTTAAGTAGAATTAGGATTCAGATACATTTAGAATTTGTAAAAAAAAAATTATCAATGATAAATGCGTAGTTGTAGTAATACATGAAAGGTAAATTATACTTTCCCCGTCTCGTTAAATGTGTCTATTTTAGTTTTTAAAATCGTGTCATTCAAAATAATATATTGAAAAAGTCAACAAATAACAACACTTATATATTTTTTTTTATATGTCTCACTCTTTAAAACTTATCAAAATAAATCTGTCAAATTCATCAATCACCTTTTAGGGATAATTCTGTCATTTCTCTTGGTCAAATATATCTCCTAAAATTATATCCATGGTCAATATAAGACACAAATTCTAGGACGGATGGAGTATAAATCATCATTCAACTTATTTCTTATTGTTATTTTGGTCATTAAAGTTTAATTTTTAATTTAAGCACTAAACTTTTGAATTACTATTATTGTAGTCACCCAAACTATCTATCTAATTGTTTGCTAACTTGATATTTTTATTAATTTTTTACTGATCATCGCACCAGGTTGTTATTTTCGATGACCGTTAGACCCAAAATTTTCATATTAGCCTATTTCAATCCCATGAGTTCGAATATACCTTTCACTTTAAATCCATAAACCTTTACTAAAACATAGACCCTAAATATCAATCAATCCTTAAACCTTAAATCATAATCAAATCATAAACTCTATAATCCATTTTCGATCATGAATTCTATTTTTGCCTTCGACGCTCTAGTAGTTTGGTGGAGAATCCCAACAGTGAAAAGATGAATGTTGGTGAAGTGAATAATATATCTCGAAACTCTGATGACTTCATAGTTGAATGCTAAGACTGATGAAGGAGAAAATCATAAGTTTGGGGAAAAACTTTTACAGCTTTTGTCGAGTTTCTATGAAAAACTAGACTGAAATACTTGTAGATGAAGACAAAATGAGTCAAACAATATTATTTTTTTGGCAGAATCGATGTCAAAAGGTGACAGTTTGACGAACTGGCTTCATTTTGGTTTATATATATATATAGGGATTCAAATGTCGTTGTTTGGTGTAAGTTATCACGTCATAACGTCGTTAATTGTTTAACAATAGAATGACCAATATAGGAGTAATTTGAAAGTTGAATGATTAAATTGAACATTTTTAAACTTCAATAAAACATGAGTGAGAAGAAAGTTGAGTGATGAAGAAAGTAATTCACCCATAAATTAATTAACCTTTTTCGACAAATTATAAATCTAACCCTAATCCTACTTAGAGGTGAGAGAAATAAAAAATCTAGGAAAAAAGAATAAAAATACTCCTAGTGAATTTAAAACTCACGACTTAAGGAAATATGATGAATAAAATAAATAGTTGAATCAACCGAATTAAATGCGATTGCTCATGAATTAAATTAATTAACCTTAAGAATCCATTGAGCTTAAAATATTCAATACCAATTGATATGGTATGGAAAAGTAATTTCTAATTAATTGTCAAAAAAAGTAAATTCTAATTAAAAAGGTTGGTGATAATAATGATGGATCCAATGCTTTTAATTTTCCATAACGTTAATTTATCATTTATATTTTTCATAATGTTTTTAATTACACGGATATTTCCATGTCTAAAGGCATCAAATGCAACGGTCCCTTTCCTGTGAGCAGGAGCGGGTTCATCACCTGCCATTTATTGCAGTGGGGGTGGCATCTACTTCTCTCTAGAAAATAACCTCAGTGATCAAAAATCTCAGATAATATACGATTTTGACCAACCATTTTTGGATTTGCGAAAATGACCAACAAAATCGCAATGCGATCTCTAATTCGCATTGCGATCTCCACTATCGCAAATTCGTGTTGCATTTGTTGAAAATCGCGTTGCGATTTTCCATTTTGCGTTGCGATAGTCTACAGTTGTCGTTGCGATTTTCTAACGAAAATTCGTTGTGATAGTTAAAAAAAAAGATTTTGTTTCTTAAGAATTTTCTCTAAAAAGATAGTATCCGCGCGGACGTGTCGAAGACACGTACGACCACGACCACGACCCGAGACGGACGGCGGCGGCGCGCGAGAGTCCCTCTTGTTTTCTATCACTCAACAAGGAAGTGGGAAAGCCAAGCCTTAAATACCATTCCCAATAGTGTTTCCAATACTATGTGAGATTTGAGCATTACCAACACTTGTTCCCAATACTATGTGGGATTGAGCCTTAAATAGTGATATTATTTTTGAATGTTTTGCTTAAAATTGCAATAATCGCGATTGATTGTAGATTGACTTTTAATTATGACATATTTAATCGTATAATACTAATACAATTGGTTGCTGATTCAGTTGTTTTAAGGTGCATGATTGTTAATTGTTTTCTGAATAATCACATTGTATTGGAAACAAGTGTTGGTAATGCTCAATCCCACATAGTATTGGAAATACTATTGGAAATGGTATTTAAGGCTTGACTTTTCCACTTCCTTGTTGAGTGATAGAGAACAAGGGGAACCCTCGCGCGCCGCCACCACCGCCGTCCCGTCTCGTCTCGGGTCGGGTCGGGGTCGTGGTAATGGTAATGGTAATGGTAATACGTGTCTTCGACACGTCCGCGCGGATACTATCTTTTTAGAGAAAATTCTTAAGAAACAAAATCTTTTTTTTTAACTATCACAACGAATTTTCGCAAGGAATTTAGAAAATCGCAACAACAACTGTAGACTATCGCAACGCGAAATGAAAAATCGCAACGCGATTTTTAACTATCGCAACGCAAAATGCAACGCGAATTTGCGATAATGGAGATCGCATTGCGATTTTGTTGTTCATTTTCGTAAATCCAAAAAAAGTTGGTCAAAATCGTATATTATCTAGGATTTTTGGTCACTGAGGTTATTTTCTCTAATAAAAATAGAGAAAATGATAGTGTCAGGTGGTCCTCATGGCTGTGGATGAGGGTGTGGACCAGAGACAAACCGTTGGATCGTTATGAAATCTAAATAATCGTAGAGTCAATGATGAGTATGATTGATCCTATAAACTTTTGGCAAAAACTTTTTACACATCATTAGGATGATCATAAGTTGAGCTAGACCGAATTTTTAATTCATTCAAATATAATATTTTTTTTCATCTGTCACTTGATTTAATTTAAGAAAATTTCATCCAATTTAGAAAATCGACCTAATATAGTTTTAGGTATAGACAATTTCCCGACTAGCCTTTGCCCGTCATTTTTAGCCGATTGTTGGTAACAATGTTATTGCATTATGTTTTTCTTTTTGATTAATCTATGATAAGTATAAAGTCGTATATGTCCAAAGATAATTCCCAACTATTTGATATTGATCGTAATAAGAGTGTAGTTGTAAAACTTGTTATGAAACAACATATGATCGGTTGGAATGGTTGTCTAAATGTCGTCATGTTAAAGCTTGAATTCAATGATACTTGAATTAGTTTTATTATGAGTTGTGTTTCTTCGATAACCTTTTATGTTCGAATTAATAGTGTGCTTTCTGATGTCTTTAGGTCGAAGAGAGATCTACTACAAGGTGATCTTTTGTCGCCTATTTTATGATGATGATAGTTTGGTGTTCCTAAGGAATTCCCACGTTAAAGCCCTTCGATTCTTAATATTGGTGACATATGCTTTAGTGTGTATAATTTGATAATGTTTGTTTAATATATTTCATTTTCTATTTACGCTCTATACTTTTTATAAGGCTTAATTATTATAAAATAAGTGTCTGAATTATGTCGTTTTTCTGTAATAAGTGTTTTTTTATTCATCTACGTGTCTAACGTTACAAACACTATCACTTTATGAGCCTCAATCGTAAAGGTCATTAAAATATTATGTTAAATGAAAAGTGTCACGTTTTGATATTTTTAAAAAAATTATTTAAAAAAACTTAACGTATATTTTCTTTAAAAACCCAAAATTTTTAGAAATCTTAAAGAAAAACTCAAAGTTCTCTAAAATTTCAAAAGAAATCAAACCCCTAAAATCCTTAATTTCAAACCCCATTACCGTTGTCGATCATCTCCAACTACTATGTACA